GGGGGGGGGAAGGGGTGAGTGAACGGCTGGGTGGTGCTCTGTTGCCCTCTGGGCTCAAACCACATCAAGACATACCAATCTGACTTATTTGTTAGGTCCTCTTTAAGGGACAGATGGAGCTAAACTGCTGTGGTCCTGCTAGGAGATATGTATTCATCGAGGCATTCATTTATTGACTATCTACTTTACTGCCAAATAATCCTCTCTGTTTGCTTGTCTTCATCTAGTTTAGATTCTGGAAGCAGCCTGGAAATATCGCACACTGCCCATTACATTAATGGAAAGTATTGATATGTCCAGGAGGTGATCGGAAGACCTGAGGACAACATAATCATCTTGCTGTTCTACATGCTGCCTATGATTACTTATTTTGAAATCATTAGCTGAAAATATTGACGTGTTAGGTAATGAATAAAGCTCACATCAAAGAAACAAATTTAGGTTTTTAATTTAAAAAAAAACACCTGCAAATGCAATGGATTTCTAATGAATCCCTCAAGAAAACACAAGTACTCAGAAGGTTGGGTATAGTAAAATTGTAACCTGAGTGGGTAAGGGGTGGGGGTTGAGGAGCTTGCAGACAAGAATTCTCATTTCGTAGCTAGAGAACTGTAACTTTAGAATTGCCTAATTTATATGTACATTTATAAATATGTACAATGGAAAGGATGCAATTTTTTTAAAGCACTTTTATTTTGCAACTGAATCTGCCAGTGCAGCCCTTGCCACACCACAGAGTAGGATTACAAGGTAAAACAAGCATCAGAACTTTCCATCAGTTTTTATGATTTTGAACGTTGTCCTATCAGAGTAGCTGGAATTGGGAATTTTCTTGTCTTGAGCAAGGGATGTGGGGATGCAGAACTGTCTAGACAGACTGAGGCAACAACATATGTTGAAGGGCATGGGGCTGGGTGTGGTAAAACTGCTCTGAAAATGCTCCAGCTGAAATTTAACATAGCTCAGATTAAAATGGGGAGAAGGAAAAACAGCTGTGTGCCACCTGAGCAGCACAACTCGGGTGGGATCCTGCACCTTTTGTGTTGCCAGGGCAAATGTAGACATTGTCCAGTAATACTCACAAGCTGCCATCAAGGTGGGCAGACGCGCTGGTTTTGGCATGTGAAGAGCAAAGGCCCTTGCACTGCTGTCAGGCTGTGCCCGGGGACATGCTGCTGCTGCTGTGACATTGCAGCCTCCTACCATGGCTTTGGCAGTCAGAGAGAGTTCAAACCCCAGTGCATCCAGCTGTGCTAACAGCAGAGCAGTCCTGCACCCCCACTGATGCAGTTGGTGCTAAGGAAGGGCAGGACTGGGCTGAAATTGTGAAGCCCAAGGTTATGCCGGCAGCACAAAACAAAGGAGGAGAAGAGGTTTTGCCTCCTGCTCCCCCCCAGTCCCAAAACCACAAGTGAAGGGTAGATAGGAGGTAATGGAGGAAGTCAATCAGTGGTGAGCTAGAAAGAGTGGGCAAGGGTCTAAACACACTCTCCTGGAGCACAGCGTGGCAGCCCCTTCTCTGTGGGTCAGTAGAGGGACCTAGGCAGGGGATGTGAAGGTTTTCTGTGCAATGGGGAAGAGTCCTGCATTGCTTGTGGTATGGATAAATTGACCTGACAAGCCTTTTCCATCTCCGGTTTCTGAGTCCCAAACAGAGAATGCAGTTAGCTGCAGCTCCAGCCAAATGGGAGCTAGTGTGGCAGGGGGGTCTTGGCAGATCCTGAGAAGAAAAATATGAGAAGGAATGGGCCAGGGCTTCAGGGCCTTCCCTTTCCATAGCACTAGGACAGGAAAGCCAGAGGCTATTGTAGAGCAAGGAGTTTCTGCCCATTTTCTAACATGCTGAGCCCACAGCCTGGCAGGAGAGGAGGAAGAGGATTTAACACTTAAGCCAGATTAATTTGTACTAGCAAAACATCCCACATCGGGTCTGTCATAACATACCCTCATTAAAACCATTTCTGCCCATGGAATATAGAGTAGCTTGAATCTGCAGGGACCAGTCCCAGCATTAACCACTGGTGTGCCTCAGGCAGCTGTGAGGAGGGAGCTCCTGGGAGCACAGAGGCAGGCTGCAGTGGCTGAGTGGATGCCTCAGTCCAAGCCTGGCACTTCTGGAGCCCAGGGGAAGGTGCCTTGGTTCACCCAGGTGCTTCCTGTCGCTGCAGGCTCTGGAGCCCCCGGTATGCAGGCGTTGGGGGAGGCCCGTCTCACTCATTCCTTGAGCTCCATTGTAGTTTTTTGAGAAGGCTGCCAGTGTAATTGCACGTGTGTGAGAACCGTTCCTTACTTTTGATTTGATCCTTATGTTTGCAACGAGCATAGTGATGAGGACCACATCAGTGCATAGTTAATAACCCTGTACATGTTAAGATGTTATGAGAGAAGCATACAAGTGATGTGAGGTAATCTGAATGCCTGTTATGACTCCTCCTTTGAAAACTGATCTCTGACTCTGTTTTCTAAATAGAATAATGTTGCAACAGTCAGGAGAGCTTCAAGCCTGATGCAGAGCTAAAGATCAAAACATTGCAAAGCCGTAATGGAGATGAATTCTAATGGATAGATGGATATAAGCTGATATGCTAATATACCTGTTTAGCTTGATAATGTTAATGATGATGACAAATTTATGAATGTATTTGGATCTACATTTATCATTTGGCTGCAATATATTAAAAATTGGATTATTATTATTTTCAATCCATCAAAAAGCTGTTGCTAAGCGCAGCTCCCTGGCTTGCTAAGTGGCAGTTCAGTCTTATGCCAAATAGTGCAATATATTATTACAAATTTTGTCCTTAATTAACACAGTCCTGACTTTTCATCATCACCAATCCTGTCACTGGGCATGACACATACGAATAACTAGAATTATTTTTTTTTCAGAGCACTACTTCCAGACTGAAGACAGCAAATTTAGAGCAGCATCTAGAGACATTATTGCATTTTGCTCTTTTGCCTCAAACCAGTGTGAACTCCATAAAAAATCAACTCCTAGTTTATAAGAATGATTGTGAAATTAAGTGAATTGGATACTGAGATGGTTAGAAAGAAGAAACGAAAAATCTGGCCTTCAGTTTACAACATGCTGAGCACTGGTACCTCCTAGAGAGGTCAGGTTCTCCCAGAGATGCAGATCCTCTGTAATGTACTTCTGAAAAATCCTTTGTCTCCCAGAGGAAGAATAGGCAGGTCTGCCAGTATGAGTTGAAGACACTCCATCATCTCCAATAACCTCAAAAGAGGTTAATAATTGTCAGAGATTAGTTTCAATAAACATTTGGATAATTTTTTTGTAGGAAACCCTTTATGCTATTGGCTGTCTTTCATCTGAGCATCTCAAAATAATATGCAACAAAAAGGGGGTTAAATCTCACAATTCCGGTGGCTTGTTTGCATTACAAAGATTAAATGCCTGACCCTTGGCAGCACCTTAACACGGAGAGAGAATTTTATGCCAAAACCACGTATCCTCACACCTATTCTTCTACTGCCATCAGACACCCAAACTTTGACACACGGTTTGCTGAAAGAGCACTTGATTTATTCACAGATTTGCCACAAAGAAATTTCTAAGCAGGACAGAATACCGCTGTGATGTGGATGGAGACAAAGACTGTGTATCTCCACACCTCATTTGGCACCCACACAAGACACTACTCACACAGGGCACCCCCCAGTCTCCTCAGTACTTCCATTATATCTGTCCCTACTTCAGCTTCTCTGAAGCCACCCACAACCTTCCTGTGGATGAGTGCAAATCCATAAACCATGTGGACGCTGCCATCACGTGCAATTTTATTAAATGCTGTTTGATGTCAGGATATTGGGATGTTTATAAATAGAGGATTGATGATTTCATTTCAAGATAGGGCAGAAGGTGAAGCTGCATTTGGAAATTAAAATCCAGCAGCAAAATCCCACATCTTTTAGAGTAGTGAAGGAAGTGCCAGAAACTTTGGCTATGAGCAACTGTGCTAATATAAATGAGCCTTCTCTGTCAAGCTTGGCTCTGAAGAAAATTTCCCTTTCTAGCCCTTGGCCATAGTGCACAAAGCTACAATAAGTGGCTTTCTCGTAATGGATCCTGCCAAGACCACAGGCCAAGCACAGCTATTCATTACTCCAGCATAATTTACTATGAAGCTAATAAAAGCAAGAAAATAATCTTTTTTTCAGAGAATATTCCTCGTTTGTTCTGATCATCAGCTGGTACCCTGCATTACTGGTAGTGATTCAGAATCAAGCTACATTGTGAGCAACCTGAAGTTATTTATTTATCTTTGCAATATCTTTGTGGTGTAGCTGGCCTGTGGTTTCATCAAGTCAAAGTTAAAGAATGGGTTGACAATAGCAACTTGCTCAAGGCCACACAAAGTCTGCAACAGAGCTGGGATCACATCTTGCTTCCAGGTACAAAAAAACAGAAATCCACCCCAGCAATAGGAAGGCAGTTCATAGGAAGATAAAGTTAGTCAGAGTGCATATTGCTGACCTGAGGTCTGTGGTCCCGCTCAGTTACTGATACTCAGCCCTCTTGTTGGCTGGCTAATCTAGTTTGAAGCTTGATAGTGTTCACACACCCCCACTTGGAACTGACAGTGCACCTATGCATAAGATAGCTAGAAACAGGATTTAATCAGAATATAGGCTAGACTGTGGTGATCAACCACAGGGCTCAGCTACACTTGGCCAGCCCCTTTCATCCCTTTTCTCCTGTATTTTGCCATGTTTTTTTTCCTCCTCAATCCACCTTAAACCGTCCCTCTCCCCTCCTTTGGTCTTTGCCCTAAACATTGTACAGTATGCCTTGCATGTTCCCAAAATGGTGTTCCCATCACATCCCTTAATGTGTCCTATACCACAAGCAATAACCACCTTTAGATTGCAAGGCATCTGGGAGGCAGTGTCTTGGCTGACTTCTCTTGGCAGGCTTCACACCAGGTAGCAAGGTCTAATCATTTTTCTCTGATGTGCTTGGGAGCAGCCAATGTTGTATGCTCCATTTTCCCTGATGAGGTTACTGAGGTCTCTCCGCCCGTCTTTGTTCTCCCTGCACCTTTGTGTTTACAGGGATTACACTTTTAATCACATAACCCAGCACCCACAAGGTAACAGGGAATCACACTGGACCCTTTAGCCTGTGCTGACTAAGAAACTGAGAATAATAAAATGCTTTTATGGCCCGAGAGCTTCACACTTAAATCTCTTAGTGAACTAGAAGATCTCGCTTTTTCCACCAAGGAGGCATCAAGGAGGCACCCACCCACCTTACATTGCCTCTTAACCGCTATTGCTGCACTCAGGCGGCATGAGGCAGCTGGAGCCCGCTGGGGTGGGTCAGGCTGGATGGTCACACTGGGAGCCCGGGCAGGAAGGGCAGTGGCTGGGGACCGGCATCCTGGCAGGCAGAGGAAATTCTCACAGCTGCATCCCGCAGGGGTCAGAAACCACTCCTCCATCGCAAAGCCCCTGCTGGGAACCAGTTCCCAAGCTGA